TCTCTCTCTCTCTCTCTCAAGGTAAGCAAGCAAACTACCAGAGAGGTTGATTGATAGCCAAACAGATAAATAATGACAGTTAGACAAACAATAAAAAAACAGACAGACAAACGACTCACCTTCTTACTGCCACAAGAGGTCCCCTCGGCGGCCGCGTAGCGTGAGCATCGAGCAGTAGAGCCGACGGACGGGTTCAGACAGTACATCGACGTACAGATGTCAGATATCTCGCCAAACGATCCGCCCTGCACAACAAAAAACACTGGTGTTACGACGTGGAAACAGAAAATTTACATTTTTTTAATGCCTTTAATCGACTTTTTTTCAGTACAATTCACACAGCAATGTGTTCCTCAAAGGACATGGAAGGCATTGAGCAAAAAAAAACAAAAATTCAATAAAAATTCCCAAACCTGCGGAAAAATGCCAGTTTTTTCACTTTGATTATTTTGACGAGCGCCTGATTTCCCCACGCTGCCTCACATTTAGCCTTTGACAAGTGATTTTCCTTCTTACACATCCGCGCATACATAATTATGTCCGTCGGCTCTACTGTTTGTTTCACCATCGCCAGATTTGTTGGTGTTTCTTTTACATCCACATAGACAGAATTTGGAGAAATTATTCTCAGAACTCGCCTGAACTTAGTCAATGTTATGGTCATAATTACATCCTAGAAACACTAAAGGACTTGACCATAAGGTTAACATCAAATTATCGTGACTCACCAGACTTTCATCATTCACTGTTATCAACATATTCTTCTTGAAACACCAGAACATACTTCATGCTATCATCAAATTATCATCAGACACACCACAACATTGCTAAAATCATCACCATAATATCATCGTAGCACTCCTGAACACATCTTGTCATAACATCAGTACACACACACTTATCAAACCTGTACACATTTACCTAATCGAAACACACCTGAACTGACTTTATGTTATCATCATGATTTGATCGTAATAACACACTTGGATTTGTCTTTTCCAATCATCATAGATATCTAGTTATCTTCATTACATGCCTCAATTTTTTCTTTTTTATCACCATACAATTCTATACATACCAGAAGTTATTTTATCAAATGTTATAATACCTCACTTCCTTCAATCACAAATATCTAGAATTATATTTAAAAATAAAAATGGATATTTATTTAATTGGAAGCAAGGCAAATAAATCAGCTTTAAGATGATACCAATAACTCTACAAGCCCAAAAATTGACGAGTGCCTGATTCCACCATGTCGTGACACATATTTTTATAACACATGTGAACTCTACTTGCTTAATCATATCATCATAACTTCTCATATCGTCATAATATCAGAACACTTTTGAATTTAACTGCTCATATTTTATCATAACTTTTGAGCTTATTATCTGATTTCATCTCAATTTACCTCATCTAATCTCACCTCGTCTCGTCTTATCATTGTCATAAACCACAACTTATCATACAGTGTCTCTCCTCACACCTCCATGTATGCCCACCCCCCCCCCCCCACGACAGTGCTACTGACTGAAGTGTCTTTAGGCCTTTCCCAAAGGGGGGACATTAACATGTTCTTATGCACAGTAGAATTGTAAATGGGCTGATTTATCAATGTCATGCTCAATACTGTAGGGGAACAACACGGGGGAACTGCTGCTTTTTCTTTCCTCATCCTTACTATCATTATTTTTCCTCTACTTCTTTTGTATGTTTGTCACTCTCTTGTGA